ACACACACACACACACACACACACACACACACACACACACACACACACACACACACACACACACACACACACACACACACACACACACACACACACACACACACACACACACACATCCTAGAACGGGGAAGCGGGCTCCCGGTCCCGGGGGCGTCTTTAGTCCCAGGGGGAGGCGACCCTCTTCGGGGCGCTTCGGGGCCGGGCCCGCTGCTGGGAGGCCGCAAATCGGCCCCCAGAGCGACCAGACAGCCGATCCAGCGGCCTAAGACGGCCCCGAGCCACCCGGAAGACGGCCTCCAGGGGCCTCAAACGGCCGGAGAAGTTTTCCAGATGGGCCAAGAGGCCGCCAAGACGGCCTGAGAAGGCTCCAAAAGGACTCCGACGAGTGCCCCAATAGGCCAACATTATAGAGTTGCCGGTGGTTTTTGGAAAATATTGATGTTTTTACCGCTTCGGGCTTCCGACGCTCCTGGACGACGCGAGAACCGCGCACGACCGCCCGGAAACGGCTCAAGAGGGGTCGATGAAAGCCCGACGACGGCGAGACCTTTCGGGTGCCCCAAGATGACTCGAGAGGCCCCCAGGACGGTTAAAGAGGCCCCCCAAGACGGCCCAAGAGGGACCCCAGAGCAGAACACGAACCCACAATTCAAGCCTTCACCCCCTCCATGCCCCCAGGAGGCCCAAAGAGGCCCCGACGAGCCGTCTCCAGGTTCCCAAGAGGCCCGAAAGAGGCCCCGAAGGCCCCAGGACGGCCCAAGAGGCCCCTCAAGGCAATGCCGCGTTTGGCTTTGGGTCGTGGAAGTCGAGGGGAGCCGTTTGGGGGTTCTCCTGGTTGCTTCTTGGGCCGGTCTTGGAGGCTTTTTGAGCCGCGGTCAGCGCCGTAAGGCCGAAGAGTCGTATGTGCTAAACTTGTATGTTTTCGTACAAGAGTTGGGCTTGGGCGATGTTTGCCTCTCGGGGCCATCGCGGCATGCTTCTAGGAGGCTTCGACATGCGTCCTGAGGACATCTTGCGCCGTATGGAAGTCATGATGGGCGTCTGCGAACGCTCTTTCAGCGACTCGGGGCCTTCTTGGATTGTCTTGGTTGCGTCTTGTGGCCTCCTGGAGCCCTCTATCCCCCATTGCTGCGTTCGGCGCAGGGCAGTGGGAGGTGGGAGGGCTGTCTTGGGGCTCTCCTGGAGGTTTCTTGTGGCGGTCTTGGGGGCAGCGCCGTAAGGCCGAAGAGTCGTATATGCTAAACTTACATGTTCATACCAGAAATGGGCGATGTTTGCCTCTCGGGGCCATCTTGGCATGCTTCTGCCAGGCTTTGAAAGGCGTCCTGTAGGCATCTTGCGCCGTATGGAGTCTGGGAACGCTATATCAGCGACTCGGGGCCTTCTTGGACCGTCTTGAGCGCGTTTTAGGGCCTCCTGGAGTTCCCTATCCCCCAATGCCGCGTTCGGCCCGGGGTCGTGGAAGGCGAGGGGAGCTGTTTTGGGCCCCTTATGAGTGCAAGGGACAGACCTCCGCATCAAGTATACCAGTGTTTGTTTTGCAAGCTGGCGCTCACACTTCTGCCTCGGTTCCCTGCGCTCAGAGACTATGGCGAAGTTGAGTATGTCAAGCCTGATGTTTCGAAGACTGCCAAGGTGGCGGCGGTCAACGGTCACTTTTCCTGGATTGCGGGATGTCGGAGGTGTGATGTGTGCTGCAGAGCCTCCAGGACCTCGTTCGTCTTCAAGTTTGGCGGTCGCCCCATGCTGGACCCGTGCTGGGGCTCGACCTGGCCAGGGCACATGCTAACCAGCCAGCGCTCGATTGCAGGCCCTGCTTGCTCTGATCAGTCCACTCCTTTTGTAGTTGCGGTCATTGCCTGGCTCAGATTTCGGCGGGATCGCTCCAGAAACCGAATATGTTTTTCAAACGCTGCCCTGGCCCTGGCACCAGGGTGCCCTGGCAAACATCTAAGTGGAAGAGGCCTCTGGCGGGTGGACACCCGCAGCACTGCAAGTCCCACGTCAAAGTTTTTGTTAACGAATTGTTCCATGGCCGACCCGTTGGAGGAGCAACGTGTGAGGAGTACTCCGTCCCTGTTGCTGTTGCTGCTCTTTTCGGTTCGGGGGCTCCACGAGAGGCTCTGGCCGCGCAGGTGACGCCTCGACCTGTGCCTTCTTCTCCGAGGGCCGCTGCTCCACAGCTTGGATCTTCGGTGCCAGGGGAGTCTGGCGCGCATGATCGTAGTCGAGACCTCTGGCTCTGAAATTGAAACCGAGGTAGAGGCCACCAGCCTCCAGTTTGACGAGGCGCCTCGCGCGCCATTGCTGCGTAGCTTCCCGACATATAGCGGTCCTGACGCTGCTGTTTGCAGACTCATTGTTGCCACGCCTCAGCACGCCGAGTTTCAGCGTGTGTGTACGGCCCTGGCCCTCGAAGAAGATTAGGTGCCGCCGCGCTCCGAGCCGAGCCAGCTTAGTGCGTCTTCTTTTCAGGCGAAGGTGGATCGATTGGTGCGCGCCGCTGGTGGCATCCCTGTCGCGTCTCTGGAGGCCTTCGACCTGGAGTCGGGATCGGGTTCGGACTAATCCTTTCACCGACCTCTGACCCACGGGGTCGTTGAGGTCTCCCAGCTCCCTGCCCTGAGGTCTCCCTCTCGAGCTGTCTCACACCTGGGCTTTCGGGCGTCTTGCCCTCGTTTCAATACACCTCTGTTTGTGGTGCGTTGCAGGTCGCCCTGCAATGGCAGACTTCAGGCGTCGCTGCACGTGTTTCTGCTGCGGCCGTGGCTCGCTCCATGGACATTCGTCACTGCAGCTGGACCCCTGCGTCCAAAAATTCTTCGGGCGTCTTGGAGGCTTCTTGTTCCGTTGTTAATGTCGTAAGGCCGTTCGTATATGCTATGAACGTATCTTTTTTTCATCCGAGACTTGGACTATCGGGGCCATCTTAGCATGATTCTATGAGGCGTTGAAAGGCGTCCTGCAGGCATTCCGCGCGGTATGCAAGTCATTTTGGGCATTTGGGAGCGCTATGCCAGCGACTCGGGGCCTTCTGGGACCGCCTCGAGTTTCTTAGGGCCTCTTGGAGACCTCTATCCCCCAATGCCCCTGCGGCCCGGGGTCGTGGTCGGCGACAGGGGGGTCGAATCCCTGGTTTCCAGGCCCTGGGGAGGGATTACTGGGGGGAACAATTTTACACGCTTAAGAATCTACAAGGGTTCGGCGGATCAGGAGGAGGTTTGAATTAAGCAGTTTTTTTTGTTGTTGTTGTGTTTGTTTGTTTGTTTGTTTGTATATATCCACATATATATAAAAATATTTTCACTGGGGTAACCGATTTTCCAGCCTGGAAGGTTCGGGTTTTTTTGAGGACCTGCTGGCGGTCTCTCGTGGGCTACCTTGCGGGGAAGGCTCGTTTGTCCGTGTTCCCCCTTTTTTGGGCCCTCGTGGGAGCGTCTTGAGTCCTCAGGGGGAACTTTCTGGACCGTTTTGGGACCCTTTTGGGGCATCTTGGAACCGTCCCGGGAGCCTTGCTGGTTGGCTTGGGGCGATCTTGGGTGCTTCCTCGGCCGTCTTGGGCCGTCGGAAGCTTGAGAAAGTGGTAGCGCCAACATCTGTGAAACACCCACGCAACATCGGTAATGTTTGCCTCTTCGGGCTCTCTTGGGGCCTTTTTGGGACGTTCCTGGGGCGTCGTGGGCGCCTCTTGGGCCGTCTTGGGACCAAGTTAAGCCATCTTGGAACGCTCTTGGCCTGGTCGTCGGGGCCTGCCACCCATTTGGCGTTTCGTTGGGATGCTCTTGGGGCGCTGTGGGGACTTTCTGGGCCGCGCCCAGGAGTTCCAGCATCCGTGACCTGATTCGGCCGGGACTCTGCCGGGACCTTGTTGGGATTTTCCCCAGGTGCGTTTCTCACCGAACGCGTTCCTGTAGTCGCAAAGTGTCTGTTCGCAAACGCCCGACAACAAAAAACATGTCTGTTTCGATTTAATGTATCGTAGATCCCCCGTGGCGGATCTAGGCCATTTGCGAGTAGCTGCTTTGCGAGTGGTGGAGCGCGCTCGTTTAGTTTCGCTCGGGGACCCCCAGAGGCCGCCACGCGCGCGCGAACTAGAAATATGCCGAAGCTCTTGCCGGAAGTATTCGCACGCCTTTGAACCGATGGGTGCCAAGCGTAGTCGTCGCCAGTTCTCTGGGATACTGTGGTCTGCTTCCTTAAACAAGAGGTTCCCCGAGGTCCCTTGGTGCTTGTCCTTTACAGTGACAGTGGCGTTCCATGGGTTCTTTGGCTTTGGTTCCTTGGTTTCCTCGTCGTGGTAATTTGCTGCTTTCCTCGGGTTCCTTGGTCGTGGTTCGTTCGTTCCCTGGTTCCTTTGTCTTCGATATTTGATCCTTTTTTTCTGCGTCACTTGCTTCCTTAGTTTTGGTCCCTGGGTTCCTCGGTTCCTTGGTCTGGCTTCCTTTGCTTTGGTGTTGGTTCCTGTTTGCCTGGTCCCTTGGTCTTGGTGCGTTTTTTCCCCGGTCTTGATTCCTTGCTGCCTTCCTCGGACTCCGTGTTTTTTTTTTTTTTTTTTTTTTTTTTTGTTTTTTTTGTTTTGTCATGGTTCCATGGTTGTTGGTGTTGTTCTGTTGGTTTCTTGGTCGTGGTTACTTGGCTCCCTGGTTCCTTGGCTACTTAGTTTTGTTTTTTTGGGTTCTGGATGATGGTTCATGCTTCCCTCGTTCCTGCGTTTGCGTATCCGTTTTGTTTCCTTCGTTTTTCGGTCAGGCCTTCTTACATCCGTGCGGCCTCACCAAGCAATGTGAAGCCGCGCCAAACAATACCAATCAGTGCAACGCAATGCCACGCAATACCAAGCAATGCCACACAATGCCAAGCAATGCCGCGCGGTGCCAAGCAACATCAGGCAATGCCAAGCACTATGCCAAGCAACGCCAGCCAATGCGCCCATGCAACCGGAAGCGTTTCCCCAATTTGAGTCGCGCTGGGTTCATCATGCATGTGAGGTGCCCCTCCAGGTAGGCGAGCCCCGCCCTCCCTGGCCTCGCCTCGAATCCGTCGGCCGGGCTGAGCGCACGGCCGGGTCAATCTGCGAGGCCTGCTTGCGCACCACCTGCCCGCTCCCCCAGACAGGTGGAACTTGCATCTCGACGCCGTGTGCGTTCACGTGCTCGAGGGCCTCTCCGCGGAGGACGGGGGCCTTCAGTTCGGGAGAGTGCGCGCGGAAGACATGGCCTCGGCATGCCCTTGGAGCCTGGGCAAGAAGTTGTCTGGGTCTGGCCCTTGCGTTCCTTCCCTCTGGCCCGTCCCTCCCTCCCACCCGTTCGTCCTAAGTTGGGGCGGAGAGGACGAGGACGAAGGTCGTTATCGGTTCCTGCCCATTTCGGACAGTATTATCCGTTGGTGTCATTGCGGGAGCTGTCCACGAGAGATGAAAGTCGCCTGCCCAACAGCGGCCGCTGTCGGTCTTGGACAAAGTTTGCCATCGGGAGTCTCTGTGCCACGCCTCGGAGGGCAAACGGCAGAGGAGAGGAACAGTCTTCATCAACCTTTGTGTGTGTGCCCCTTTGCCTCCAGGCCGCCTGAAGCGGGCCAGAGCTGGTGGGGGTCCAAGGACGCCGCCGTATCGACGATGCATTTGCGATGCGGCTCGTGTAGGTGACTGGTTGACCATCTTGCGCAGGAGCGCACGGGGGGCCTGAGAATCGAGCCGGCATCTTTTCTCCCATTCTTCCCCCCTTCGCCCTCTCGCTGAGTTCACCCTGTCTCTCTCTTGTCTTCGTGTGCTCTCCCGAGTCTCATGGGAGGGGAGAATGGGCATCGGGCAGGACAGTGAGGAATACGAGGGTTGACCAATTTGGTGCTGACTGAGTGACGCTACGGAGGTCTGGCTGAGAAGCGCCAAGACATCCACTGATGCTGAGAGCCAAGAGACATGATCTAAGTGATCAATTTTATGTGCTGCCAGCAGCCAACTGGGTGTATCCAGCGGCGATGAAGCCCAACAGTGAGAGAGGAGGGGGGCGTTCCGCCAACTGGCGCGAGGACCTTGAGTCAGTTCTTCTTGCAATTCATGCCAAAGTGCTCCAGGAGCCTAGCCCGACCTTGCTGAGCCGCGCTCGCTGAGCTGTGCTCCTCCTTGGCATCGGGCGGCAAATGCGCTAGCCCCTGTCCTGATATTGCTAAATGCCGACCGCCCTTTCATCAAGTACGCCAGGCTCGCGTCGTAGCGGCTCGTCTGTGACCCCGCCGCGAGCGTCCAAGGTTGAACACCCCAGTGGCTCGGAATCGTCCAATATGGAACGATCTGGCGATCGGAAAGCCACTGATCGTTCACGGTTGAACGATCCACGACCCGCGCGGTGTCAGAAAAAACAATGCAAGGGTCGTCACGACGCTCTATGCGGCGCCGAGGAGCTAGATGCCATCGGGAAGTCCAACTACGCCCCAGACCGGTGCCGCGACCGAAGCAGAGAAGGGGATGTGGAGTAGCAGGAGAGAGCATATCTACATCATATAATGCCGTCTTGAGGGGCCATGATGGGAGGGGGAGAGGCTCAGGGAGTGATGCATCGACACCCAATCGCCCTTTCATCGCCGACAGAGGCCTGATCCGGAAACGTGCGCTTTCGCTGTGGAGGGCCTATCGCAGATCTATCAGCAATGTTTCGGCGATTCCAGTTCGGTATTTCCTCCCCTCAGCTGGTCGTCTCCCATCGTTTCCTGTAAGTGCCCGTACAGAGCATATCTATGTTAATGTAGTTTGGCCGTGCTCATTTCTTCAGTCCCTGCCTGGAGTTAATAGAATATTGGCCAGCCTGGCGTTGCTCTGATTCTCTGATCCTGGTGTCTGCTTCTGCGGTTCCCGTGTGGTGCATCCCGATTCGCGCTTCTCCCAGCCGAAGTTCGCATAGCAATCTTGCCAGGTTTAACCAGTGGAAGTCGCCCGCGGAACTCCTGGCGAAGTACTGCAACGAGACGAGGGAGCGGCCTCCTTGCCACTCCTCCCTCTGCTGCCTCCTCTTCTATTTTTCTCCCCCGGCTCCGTCGCAATTTCGGCCCAAGCCTCCCGCGGATCTGGGGCGCCCTGACTGACCCCTATCAGACCGACCCCAGTCCGTGACGAACCCCTCGCCTCGCTCCAAGTCGTGGGCGGGCGGCTGGAGGGGAGCCCTCGAGGGCGAGGGCCTCGTCACGGAAGGGACTCGTCAATGAAGGAACGGGCGAGGCCGTGCCCGTGCCCGAGCGGGTCTTGGGCTTGCCTGGGCTGCGGTACGTCTTTCCTTGCGGAGTCTTTGAGGCACTGTTCTGATGGAGGCCGCTGTGCGTGCAGACGCGAGCAGGCATGTGGCGGCTGCGCCATGGCGTCTGGCGAGGTGCGGGGGGGAAGTCTATCGGTGGGGATGGTCCTCCGACCGAGCTGGACGGCCGAGCGAGGCAAGCAGGCCGAGAGGCGGCGATGCCAGGCGGGCACAGCGCCCGCGTGGACCAGTGGGCGTGTTTACGCATTGTGTGCTTCCTCTGTGTCCGGTGCAAGATTTCTCCCCGGGCTTCGCGGCTGTGCCAGTCACTTCCCGCGCGCAGGGGCAAAGTCGAGGGCGACGGCGACCCCATCTGCTCCGCAAACAGCCTCCCCGCAGGGTTCTTGGTCAATGACACATCGGGAGTTGGAGGAGGAACCAGCCCCCGAGCCGCCCGCATGCAGACAGAGTCATAAAAATTCGACGTGAAACCGTGGGCCACTGTCTACTTCGGGAAAGAATGTCACGCATACGTAGACGAATGCATTCGACGCCCCGAAGGGTCAGGAGCAGCGCCAAGGCAACAACCTGAAGCATTCTACCGTGGGTGGGTGCACTGCCTGCTTGATGCCGGATAGTTACCCAGACTTGTGTAGGCGAGCCCTGGGAGCACTTTACATCAGAGAGTGGACCATCAAGAATATTATGTGGAAACTGGAAGCATAGGGCAGACGCAGGTGCAGGTGCGGGGAGCGCAGCATGGTGACCCCGAGCGCGCTGGCTGGTAAGCCCTGCCTACGTGCCGACTGGGGAAAGCATTCGGTGGATTACAGTCGAAACTTTGAGAGAAGGCCCTCTTTGGAATCGGAAGGGTCTCGATGTTCTTTAGGCCATTCCAAGGGTTTCTCTCTAGCGCTCCTGTCTCTCTCAGGCGCTTCTGGGGCCAGAAGGAGGCTTCGTTCCTTGCGCCCTTGGTTCTTTGTGGCAAGACTTCGGCTGTACCTCGTTGTGCCGAAGAGGCCCCTTCGAGCTGCAGGACCTGCAGACTGTGGGTGGCTTCCTTTCGCATCGCTGGGAGGCAACAAGTGCAGCAGGCCTCGGGCGCGGCGTCGTGTGGCACGAGTCCCCGCCGGCCCGGTCAACACATGGGGGCAGCGTCACTTGCCTCCTCGCCCTAGAGGTCTGTGGCCCCTGTGCCTCCTACGACCGGTTCGCTGTGATGCCACTCTTCGTCCCGTGACTTCGGTTCTTCCCAGCGCTTGCAATTTCCCCCCTTTCTCTTCACCTGTCCCGCCTCCTCTTCCTCCTGCCTACGTACTGTTTGCAATCGTCAGAGCCATTTCAGAGCCCACGATGGCACCTATTCCCAAGCAGAAGTGGTAGGCAGGGCCAAGTTTTCCCTTGTTGGGGGGAGTTTGATTTGTCCAGAGTATGCCTAATCCCAGCGCGTACTCGAGTCAGTCGCGCGGAGTTCCTTCTTCGGCTTGCAGCTGTCTCGCTGCTGCCTGTCGGCTGCGCGCCCTGCACTGAACGCCGAAGAAGAAGGGAACTGAAACTGAAATAGAAACCATAATCGAAGCAGGACACCACAGCCAATACAAGAACCGACACCAGAACCGGAATCGGAACCATCACCGAAACCAGGACCAAACCCGAGCCAACATTACACCCATGTTGGATTGTAACCCTGGCCAGATGATCACTGGACTCCGCTGCTCTTCGTGAGGAGTGGCCCGGCCGATCCATCCATCGCTCGTTGGATGGGAACATATCCGCGGTTATCCACGGCCTCCTGGGCTTGGACCTTTCGGCCACGACTCCGTGGATGTGGGGGGCGTCTTTGCGCGGAATCCTCGCGAAGAGCGTAGATATCCGTGGGATCGCGTATCCATGGCATCGAGCTTCGGGCCCGATGCAGTCACACGGGGTCCTTTGGGGAACGTCGTCTTCCTTTCCTCCCTCCTCCCCCTCATATATCCCTCCTCATCATCCTCTTTCACCTTTCCCCTTCCTCCTGCCTTCTCTTCCTGATTATCCTCCTGCCTCCTCCTGTTCCTCTTCCTTCTCCACCGCCTCCTCATCATTCTCCCCCAGGGGTTACGGGCTGCCTGACTGCGTTGGTGTCGGTATCT